TATATATATCGCTAATTAATTGAATGGTGTAAAATATTTTATTGTTATATTTGCAGGATAAGCAATCTCGTTACAAATCCTGATGCAACGATTAATAACTAATTATAAAGAATACTTTTGGTAATACTTTTTTGTATTATCCTTCTAACATATTGTTAATATTTTTTACAATTCTGCAACGAAGAAAAATAGCTGGAAATATAGAACGAAGTATACATATATAGAGAGATGCATTTTAGTCTAAAAGTGAGTATTTGAAAAATCCATTAATTCAACATGTTTGTTAAAACACTCTATACATGTATACATATATAAAAAGTTGAATATTCAGATGAAACGTCTTTTCTCTTTGAGTATTGGAAAAAAGAATTACTATGTAATTTTTTGTAATTCTAGCAGTTATTTACAATGAAAGATTAATACATACACATCGTATCGGTCAATAATTGTATAAAATTCATATTTTTAGATTATACAAATATTTGAATATAAGCATGATTGATTCTATTTCGAATAATTATAAAATAATTAATTAATTTTATTAATTATGGTTAATTTCTTTCTTTTGTGATAATCTAATGCATAAAACATGCAATATACTAATCTTTAGATTACTTTCATCTTAATATTTAGACGATGGAAATATCCAAAAGGTAAAAAGATTGTTTAAAAAATTTAAGTATGCCCGTATAAAAGTTCTCGAAAATTCACTTAAAAATTTCAAAATAAATAATTCAAAATATCAAGTTATAAAAGTACAAAGATTGATGGTATAAAAACTGATTTCTATTGTCAATTGTATATAAAAAGGATCGTGATTCATATCACACATCTTAAACTCATCAGTCGCATAGAATATCACAGGAACGTTAGTAAGTGCCATTGGATTTATGCATATCAAATATAATAGATATTATATTGCTCGTGCACGTATTAAAAAATATAAAGAATATTAAAAGAAAAAAAATCTCAATCATTCCTTTTCAATTTAAAATTCAAATTATGCTAATCTGTTTTCATTATTAAGATAATATACTACTATAATTTATAATATAATTAATAATGTACATTATAAAAAGTTTTCTCAATGTATGCTTTGTGAATGACAAAAAGCAACAAAAACACAAGCAATAGTTAAAACATGATGAAAAATGAATAATAACCATACAAAATGTCCTTGATAATTATCTTACTTGTTATTGCAAATTTCATTTTATGTATCAAAATTGTAAAAAAGTCTTCGCTCTTCAAAGACTTAGACTTTTAAGCAAAATAGTTTTCTATTATATTTTGGAAAAATCTGCTTCTCTTCTTTCGAATTGTAATAAGTTATGCTGCTATTAATTGCCATTTTAGATTAGAGATAAAAGAAAATTCAAAACTTTTTTCTAGTAAAATCTCAAGTCTTTTTTTTCTTTTTATTTTTAATTTCAATAATTATTATTTGTTTAATGCAGCACAATCATATTGACAACAATAATCATATAATAATCATGCTCATTGCTATGGCAATAGCACAATTTACAAAATTCTACACTAGCTGATTCAAATACTATTAACACAGTTATTTCTTTCGAATATTAGGGTAAATTTATCATGAATAGTATCTTTAACGTGTAAAGTAATACATGGTACAGTAGTCAGTCACCTTTCTCTGGTCACAGAAGAGAATATTTATGTAGTATGAATCCTATGAAATTATATTATTCATGAAAAAGACCGCCGTCTCCTCTTTTTCTTATAACGTATTGCCTAATTATATTAATAATTAACAAACGTCACGCACAGGTTTTTTATAGGGCACGCTATATCGTTTTTCGCGCTACATGTTCCTAGCCAGTTACATAGAGCCATTTATACCTCAAGATAAATTAAAGTTAATTGATAATCAATTGAATTTTAATCGAGCATTTAGTTTGATTGAAAAAAAAAAAAAATTAACGTATTATCGATACAGTGTTGATGCAATTAATAATATCATTGTTATAATTTATATTTTAGGATAAAATGGTAAGTTGTGTGGAATTGAAATCATTAACTTTAACTTATATCTGAGGTATCTCTATATTATTATAATAATATAGTTTGCATCTTTCGATGTCCATTTTATAAAATAAAATGTTAAAAAAGTGTGATACACTTGCTACTTGAAACATTTTTTTTTTTCTTCTTTTTTTCAATGGATCGTATCAGAATTTTTATCATGATAAAAATAAAAGATTGTATACTTTTAATTTACAACAATGCTTTTAATCCTTCTAATTCATACATTTACTGGCTGTAAAAATGTCGATGTTTCTTTATACACATACTACGAGATGAAAATATGTAATAAGAACATGCAATTAATTACAAAATTGTAATAACAATTTTGCAATTGCAATGTCATATCAAATATTAACAATGGTTATATTATTACTGTTCTAAATTGCGCATTTTCGCGAGCATGTAAAGTATATTTTAACTTTATGCGATAAAAATTAAAAACAATCGTTAATTTTGCGCAAAATTCTTAAATAATAAAGACGCAATTAATAATTATATATATATATATATATCGCAGATCTTATAAATAATATATTCTACAAATAAGGGATGTTTCATGCCTAAACATCTCTTATTTTCTCACTGATAGTAACGTAACATAAATTAAACAAAATATATTTGTTACAAGTGCTGTGCTTGTAGATTTTACATTATAAAATATTCAAAAGTCCATGAGATTATTTTTCTTTATATATTGTGCGTGTCAATTTGATGTTCTAAGAAAATCTTTTCTATATTTCAATTAAAGATCGTTTGAAACTACATCTACCATACAAAATGTTTAAAAATTTCCACCATACAATATTTTTTTATGAGTCAATTAAAAAAAAAAAAAAGAAGAAGAAGAAGAATATAGACAAGATTTGTGCAAATAAGAAAATATTGGGCTGATAATAAAAACATTATTATGAAAATTATTAAAACGAAATATATATAACTGTATAAATATTTACATAATGTAAAAATACTGTGGTTCGTAAAAAATATTTATAAACCATTGATAAACATATATATATATACACACAGATAAAAATATCTTATTATCTTATAAGTCTCTAATATTATATTTTAAATTATTTGCAATCTATGAAAGATAAATGTTAATGATGTTTTATAATATGTAAAAAAAAAAATAACAGTAGGTGGAAATTCATAGGCACTTTGTAAATATTTCTACATATAATAATTCTGTTATATAAGTATAAAAACAAATATGTCACACCGTTTATTAATATAATGAAGCAACAGCAGAAGGTGATAGCAGCAACTCTAATTACAGACGAAGCATGTTTGTATCTTAGATCTCTATTAATTATAACATAATCGAAGCGCAAACTAGCAACTAATCGTTATTTTCGGTTATACACACATGTACATTGAATAGGGACGTGCATCGTAAGCACGAGAATGGAATGACACGGAAAGGAAAAGAAAATAAATCTTGTCGACCGATGCAATGTAAATTAAGAATTTAATGTGATTGTCCCTTGCCATAAATGAATGGCTTAGCAGCGTATATATGCCGGAGTTAAAAACTTGACTAGAAAAAAACGAACGTGCGAAGAAATAACATAATATGATGTATGATTTCACAATTTTTCTTTTCTTCAAAGATACTTCGTTTCTTTTTCTTTCCTTATTTATAGTAATCTCATCGACTTGTTTTTATTTTCAGTATTATTCACTGTGAGGTAAAACACTAATAGTTGTAAGTAGTTCTTATTATTAATGTAAGAATTCGATTTTATTCCTACATAATATTTTATTCTCCAATTAGAAATTTACTAATTAATTATTTCAGTAATTTAACTCATAAATTCTAACACATAAGAATACATAAGAACTACTTATATCTTTTAGTATTTTTGAATGAAATCTAACTCCTATGCCGCATAAGCCCTTCAATTATGCATAACACTTCGTTGGTGACTTACAAAGCACATTTGCGGACATGCCACACACACAGATATATCCCTAATCGTTTTGTGTATGAAAAAGTAAAAAAATGATTTTTCTCCCCGTGTTATAATTCACAGTAGTTTTATATGCCGTACAAATAAAGTACGTGCTATTTTTCGCGCATTTTAAACTGAATAAGAAGATCAGTCTTTCTTTAGAAGAAAAATTAGCGTAAGCGCATTATGTACGCACGCTTTATATCGTATATGACACGTATGTTACAAATAAATTTACACACATGCGTGCGTAATATCATTAATAATTATAAATTGTAAGGTAGACCAAATCAGAGTTTGATCTATCCTTGTCGAAGGATAGAGTAACAACGCATGTCTGCAAAAACGTTTGGAAGAATCCAGTTCTTAATTCAATTTAAACCATATAAACTGTACCATCTATATTTGATCGCGTAAAAAAAGAATATATGTATGAACAACATAAAAATACATAAATGTTATGTATATAATACAAAGTTTCTATAAATTATAATTTTATTATTGCAATATAATATGTATGCTATAAAGTCTGAAATGTAACTATTACAATATAAAAATACGATCAATTATTAGATTGATAAGTTATATGGTCTATTTTGTCAAAATATTTATACGTTTTATAAATACTTAATTATTTCAGTAGTCCATCAAATAGTCATATTTGTTAATAAAAACGCACTTACTTTGTTGCGTCAATGTTTTCTTCATATGTTCCATGTTCAATCACAAAAATGTTTAAATACACTATTTCGTGTTTTTTTTTTTTCAATTTTATCAATAAAAATAAGTCATTGAGATAGATTCACAATGTTGTTGAGACCATGATATCACGAATGTCTTCATTGTACTGCACTTTATAACAATTAACCAATAATTGGTTAAATTCATTTATATATCAAATCAATCGTATGTTTAGTTTAATCCTATGAATTTGTCAATATGAAATGTTTACTGTTTATTTCTTGTGATATAAATAAATGTATACACATAATTCTCTTCGATAGTTTGTGTATAAAACATGAAAATTCAAAGATCGATAATTGCTTATACACATGTATTTCAGTCTAATTTCATGATGTATTTATTTCACCAATATATTAGTAATCTCTTTGGTTGGCCCAATATAGGTTTTTGAGCATTCGAATACATCTCCAAACACTTTTTGTACGTTGTTTTTACGCACATATTCACCAAACATTATTGAGACATTTCAATATTTTATTCCGCAATATTAAGAAGTTGGTTCATCATCGGCTAAATTATGAAGATCTGAATAATTCACAATAGCACGATGTAAAAATTCGTATTGTGCCTAGAAATATTAAATAAAAATATCATTTATATAATTATTTTACTTATTTTTTATATAATTATATAATTATTTTACTATTTTTTTATAAAAAAAAAAAAAAATTGACTATTAAATTTGAAATACGTACAAAAGTGCTAATCATGCCATGTCTTTGTGAACGTAACTTCTTTGTTGTTGTAAATATATCTACGCGTTTTTCAGTTCTCAATTGTTGGACCAATATACTAAGAGCGACGAACATAGAACTCCTATCAGATCCATAGCTGCAATGCACAACTAGCGAGCCGCTTGATTCTGTATCGTTTGTAAGCGTTTGGTTTACGAGTTCAATGAGACCACGAGTTACTTCAGGTACTTCTCCTTCTACTGTTGGCCACCCATGATATTGATATTGTGTTACAACAACACTTTCATCCGTTTTTGTATTAGAAACACAGAATTCACGGCGAGTGTAATACGGACAGCTCTCACTTTGAATATATCTAACTCTTATATGGTCATATGCAGTTTCTTCATCAGGCCAATAACGTGGACATTTTCTTGGACCTTCATTTAACTAAAATAAATTTTTATGTTACAATTTGAACAATGACTTGAACAATGAAGTTTTATATATTATTCACATTCATTTAAAATCGGAGACTCAATAATATTTTTCATCCGACTTTAATTATTATAAGTATAATTTTTTTTTAATATTAATGGGGAAAATGTAAGTTGCGTACTATATATAATACTTACGCAACGAGTTCAAAATTTATAACATATAAAAAATAATTAAAAAATGTAAGAAATAACTACTTACATCGGATAACATTACTATCGTAGAGATACACTGTTCTGAAATCATTCGCCAAAAATCTGCTATTGTAGTATCCAATGGATCTTGAGTAATGACAAACGATTCGGAATTGTCATAGCCTTCAATAAAAGATGCATTTATATATGTTGAATGTTCTCTACCCGGAACGGGTGTAAGAATTACTCGATTTCTGTCATATGGTATTATTAGTTCACTTCTGTTTTTGCTTTTATTTTCTTCTCCTCCACCAACGGAAAATGATTTCCTGTCTTCTAATACAGAGTTGATTTTCTACAAATATTAAAAACAATATGTACAACTTTCTTTGATTAATTTTTATTTAATTAACTTTTTTTAAATATAACTAAGTCTTTTAACAGAATTTTCTACTTACATCATATTCTTCTTCCATTCTACACTTTTCTTTACCATTATCTCTTTGTCTTAATTTTGCAACATTATTTTTAAGCTGAGATGCTGGAATTTCTGTATCACCATATTGTGCCATTTCCATTAATGCGCGATAAATGAAAATATATTGTTTCAATGATTGTACTAAAAAATTCTTTGATGTCTTAAATCACATACTGTATTGAAAATCGAAACTTGACCCTCTTCTGCAAGTTGTTGCAATAAAGAATCTAATGCGACTAATGTTCCTGTTCGTCCGACACCTGCACTACAATGTACCAATATTGGACCTTTTTCCAACGAATAAGCTTCATTAACTCTTTTAATGAATCTGAGAATTGCGTGAGGATGTTCTGGCGCCATGAAATCTTTCCAAACTAAGAAATGATACTGAATAATAGTGCGTGCATCTCGTTCTCCTAATCGTGTCATTTTTAATTCACGAACAACATAATCCGAGTAAGCTCTTTCTCGAACATGTTCAACAGTAATATCGCCAAAATTTTTGGTTTCACCTTTGTCCGGCCAATATTTTGCACATTTTGTTTTCGAATACTCTTCGAGATTTGTTAACATCAGTATCAGCTCAAGATGTTGTTCCCAAATCATTCTCCAATAATCGCAAACAGTATTTTCCATTGGACCTTGAGCACATATAAATTTCTTGCGTTCTTTGTATCCTAATACAAAATTTGCGTTTATATAATCGGAACCACAAATTCCATCCATTTGCGCAAGTCTTACTCTAGTCTGATCGTAGCATTTTATATCAGGATAACGATTTTTATATAAATTTTCGCGTGCTTCTGAAGCTCTTGTTGTACGATCTGTAAATCTATCTGGTAATAATTCGAATTCGTGTTGGAAACCATAATCAGAATCTCGGTGTCGTTCAAGATATGCTTGAAGCAATTCACTTTTAGGAATAGGAGGCATATCTGGAGGACTTGCTGCTACCAATTGATGCCTTCCTCTAAGACTTCTGCATAAATGCCTATCAAGATAAAAATATTCGTTATATTATATAATATATATAATATATAATATTCTTTCAGTGAAAATATTACCTGAAACTATTTCTCAGAGTTATAATTTCTTCTCCTCTTTGTTGAGCACGCTTTGTGTATCTATGTAATACACAAAGTGCAATAAGAAGAATGATGATAATTAGTATAAGAGCAATAGAAAGTTGTAGAATTACACTGAGTGTGGTCACTTCCGTTGATATCATAGTCACGGGATCCAATCCTCCATAGAGAAGATTAAAATAGTTACTATAAGCAGGCAAAAGCTGATCTTGGTTTCCAAGCACTAAAAAAAAAAATCTTGTAATAAAAAGTAAACTTTCAATATAAATATGTACTTATTTGGAAATATTAAAATACCAATAACTTCGATGAAACCCGTATAATTTGATTTTTCATCTAAGAAACCATCTTGTGCGCTAAGTAATTGTTCAAAAGATCCATCTTCGCTTTTCGTTTTCTGGATAGCCATATTTTCTCTTTTTTTTCTTTCTACAGATTCTGTATGATTATTATCTATTAGATTTGTAATGGTTGTTTCTATCCTTTGAGTAGTAACAGTGGATGTTGTTGGAATGGGAGTTGTAGTCGATGTTAATGATGTTGTAGTAATAACAGGTGTTGTATTAAATGTTGATGTGGTTATTGAAACTTCAGGAACAAAATGTACAGGTGGAGCAGCTTTTGGACGAAGTCCAATACATTTGTTGCACATATTACTATCATTGAATGATTCACCATCGCCAAGGAAAATTTCCGATATCAATCGATCACTATCAAATATTTCGGCAATATAAGCACCACCAGAAGGTGAATTATGAGCATATTGATATGAATATACATTAATTTCCTCGGGTGGTGGTAAATCAGTAACACTCTTTTGTGGTGCTAATTTTACTAGATAAACTCGATAGCAACATATAGGACCGTTTCGTTCTGTGATACGAGGAAGATACAATTTAAACAACTGTTTACCCTGGTTCTCGATTTTTCGCCACGATCGCATATTTAAACTATCTCTATCTGGTATTGTAATTGGCGTAGTACAATTACCAACAGCATCCTTTCCTGGTGTTCGAGATCTAGTTACACCGTTAACACGGACAGTATAATTAGTATTGGGTGGTATTTGATTAAAATGTGTACTATTTTTTTTATAAACACTCCAAGTCTGTGGTCCCCAAGTATCAATATCTAAACGACCCATGTCATTTCTAAATCTAGCAATGCCAGTTAATTGTATGTTATAACGAGTAATAACACCATTAGGTTTTTCTGGATGAGCCCATGAAATGGAAATAAAACTGGAACTACTTATATTATCAAATCGACAATTAACAGACAAATTCTGAGGAGGACTAGCCACTAAAATTAAAATTATATTATTAATTAATTATATTAACTTGTAATATATAGAAAATATTGAGTTTTCAAGTTTAATAATTTTACCTCCATCTAAAGTAGTGCCATTTACTTCGGTGCTCCAATTTCCACATTCCTTTGTATATTCGCTACACGCGGCAATTTTAAATTTATACTTTGTAGCGGGATCGAGATCGACAAATGCGTATACGGCAAATGGTTGCGCGGGATATACCGCTTCTCTTTTTTGATCTCCATGAGTAATCATTAAATTATAATAATGAACATGTTCTTTTAAATCCAATGGTGGCACTGTCCATGCTATTGTAATAGAATTTTCAGTAACTCCATTAACAGAAACTTTTGGTACAAATATAGGATCTGTAAAAAATTAAATTGATTTATTATTTAATAGTTCAGAAATAAGTAATATAATTAAGATTATATATTTCAATACCTTTTTCAAGAGTAGTAATCCAACGTGGATCAAATCGTACATGTGATGTACCCACGTTATTTGTGGCACTAATACCAATCTGATATGCTGTACCACTTTCAAAACCTTTTAAAACATAGCTTGAATTACCGCCGCCAATTTGTTCAGAATAATATTGATATTGATTAGTTCCATTCTTCATATGTTGGATAAAATATTTTTTAATAGGCTCATTACCATCATTTACAGTCCAATTTAAAAATATACTTCCAGCACCAACAGCTTTCATGAAGTCAATGCTTACTTTTGGTACATCAATTACAAAAAGATGTCTATAAGCGCTAATTTCACCGTTGTAATCACGTGCTTTACAAATATACGTTCCGTTATCTTTACGTGTTAAACTCGTAAATTCTAAAGTGAGTACAGTGAGAGTTTCATTTATTTGTGTGATAGTAGTGAAATCTTTCCAGTGATCTGAATTTTCAGAATCATTCCTTTTAACCAAGAAAATTGAGATAATGGATAACCATGCATATGACATGTTAAATTAGCAGATTCCATAACTTTTATCCTAATATCTTCTCCAGCTGTTATTCTACCTGGTTCTAAAATAAAAATAATTCATAATTAAAAATGTAAATAATAATAATTATACATAAATATAAATTTTGAATATTATTATTAATTGATAATTAATATTTACCAATAACTCTAATATGAACATCCTTTTCCAATATTTCCCCTTCTACAGTTTGTGCTATACACTTGTAGTCTCCTGTATCATTTCTACTAGCTTGTTTAATATCCAAACGTCCTCCCGAATCAAAATCTTTAATAGTAGTGAGATTCTTTCCATTGCTAGTCCACCATATTTGGCCAGGAACACTGAGTTTACATATTAATGATGGTGTACTACCAGCCTCTATACCTTCTAAATCTTGAGATGCTGTAATTTCTAATACTGCTGGATTTTCATTTTTTGACTCAGTGGTTTCTATGCTTTCAACAGCTACATTAGGACACATAAAAAATATATATAAATATAAAAAATATCATATATTTATTTTGATATTTATGTGATATCAATAAATGTTTAATTTATTGATATTTTATGAAATATATATGAAATTTACCAATATTTGAATAATTAATACAAACATAACAATAACAAATAAAAAGTTATTGACAAATTGATTAATTTAAAAAAAACGAATTATTTAAATTAAAAAGTATAAATTTAAATTAAAAAAATTTTTTACTCAATACATGAAACTATACAATTAGTTTATTAATTCATTAAAATCATGACAGTAAAATTATATAAACTGTTTGTGTACAAATTAATTTTGTTATTTAAAAGATAAGATTTATCAAAATTTAATATCAATTTTCTTTTTTTAAACGATTTAATAGCAATTATAATTATATATAAAGTATTATTTTATAATCTATAATAATATAAATTTTAAATAATGTCGTTCTAAGTTTTCGTCTCTTTGTGTAGAACGTGAAAGTATATGTCGCGTAAATTCTTTATTTAATGAGTTCAACAGTTATTATCGCGATGACACTGGTGACTCAATAGACAGTAACGTTTTCTTACATTAAACGTCTTTAAATCGTATGTTATATGTTAGATTATATTTATTATGTAAAATAAGATAATCGTTACATTAAAAAAAAAATAATAAAAATCATTAAATAAAAAATAAAACTTTCTTATAAAAATTACTTTAGTGATTATATTATGAAATAAAATTTTCTAGTCTTTTAATTTAACTTTTTTTCGGTTTTTATAAAATTACTTATATCAAATAAAAATTATTTTCTGCGAAAAATATAATTTGATATTTCATATAAAATAAACAACTTAAAATCGGATTAAGCTTCGGTAAACATAAAAATATTATTCAAATATTTAGGTAAAAAAAAATGTTTTTTTATTATTCAAAATTATTCTTAAGCTGAAGGAAATGAATTTTCGTAAAATATAGAAATGATTAATTAGATATTTTGTCAAAATAATAAATATATTCATTCTTAAAATTCTAATAATTCATAATTTATGATCATAATTATTATATGTACGTAATTATTTATTTAATTGAGTTCCATATTATTAGTTTTATAGTAGATATTTACTTTAATAGTATGTATAAAATATACATATAATATATAATAAGATAATAATAAAATAAGGAAATATATAAATGATATAAATAAAAATAATAGAATATATCATTGATTATATTATAAATTAACTTCAATTATGATAGATTTTTTAATATAAAAATTAAAATATAAATAATTTTTGCGAATAAATTTTTTAATGCTGAACTGTTATATAGAATTATGAAATATGGATACAGAAAATTGATTTCGAGCTTTTTCTACTAATTAATATGCCATGAAAATTGAATTTTTTAATATAAACATAAATCATATAACAAACAAAAGATAAGCGATAAACGTCGAACGATAAATAATTGAACGATTAAGATAGACATTCGATATTTTTTTATGTTGTTAATCAATCGACATAACAGTATGCAATTTTATGCATGATTATAGAATCAACTATCTATTTGGCTTAAGTTAAAATCATTGCCATAATATTTACATGAGACAAAAATTATCGAACGAAGGATAACAATTGTAAAGATGATGATGACAGCAGTGTATCGCGCGTGTATCCGCTACATTGCTTATAGCATTCATATTTTTTATAGATGTTTGACGAGAAAAGCGGAAAAAGCTGTCGACGCGCTCAAATTGATCATGAGGTAGTTTATAAAAGTATTTCTATGACTTACCGGATTCATCAAGGCCGGCAACGAATAGTACGAAAAAACAGAGTATCATCAAAGGGATACTCGACATCGGTAGACTACTTCGGGGAAACATGGCGTCGTGACAACCGGGCGTGAGCGTTGTATCCCTGGCCCTTTTCCCACTTCCTGCCACCTTCTTATACGTTCTCGATTCCTTTCACAATTCCATGACGTGTAGTTAGTATCGCCTGTCCATTTGAATCACGATCCAATTCACTATTTCATATCACGCTTCGCACTTACGTGCGACGCACTTTTCGAGATGTTCAGACACACTTTGCAAATCTCACCCCGTAAAAGTGCTAGCGAAACTGAATCATATTATACGAATGTAATGTAGGTGTCTCAACGAAACCACTACGCTACCAAATGCTAACGATTGACACTGCCCTCCGTCGGGATTCTGCTCCACGTTTGGGCAAGCACGTCGATAATGAAGGTAATTGTTTTGAGGGCGGGAAATTGCATTAGAAAATCTATTATACATTTTTCTGGTTTTCTTTTCTTTTCAGCAAAAATTAAGTAGTTCTACTTAAGTAATATAGTATTAAATATTTTCTATGGCACTTGCAATTAAAATATAAAAATATTGATAAATATATGTATAAATATACATAAATATAAACATGTGAATGAATAATAATTATTTTTTCAAATAAGTATATTTGTATATGTATATATATATATACACACATATATACATATAATTAGTATAATAATATTTTTATATATATTCACAATTTTAATTTATACGCATTTAATTTTGAATCAATTTCAATTTACTTAATTTTTTCATTACAGAAAATTTATTATAAAAAAAAATTAATTATACTTTATTATCGGTGAAGTATGAATCATTATTTCTATATCGTGTCCTCTAGGGGGCTCCTACTATGTATAACTGACATTGATAATACATATTCTTGTCTTTGTAAAATGTTCTTCTATATGTTTAATTTTCTTACCTTTCTTCTTTGTTCTGTCTAAATTTCGGTATAGCGACAAGTGGTATGGCTGAGTTGATTTTAGATCCAAACATTAGGGGTTGGGTATTTTTACCTATCGTTGTGATTACATTTCTAGTAGGCATTATTCGACATTATGTTTCGATACTACTTGCTTCACAAAAAAAGGTTGAGCTTCATCAAGTACAAGACAGGTAATTATGATTCTAAAAATTTTGCATTTTTTTAATTATTTTAATATTTCATGCCTAATATTTTAAATGTGAATTTTAAACATTATTTTTTATTTTTTTAGTCAAGTGATGATACGCTCTAGATTACTTAGGGAAAATGGTCAATATATTCCAAAAATGGCATTTATTAGTAGAAGACATTTTTTTAATAATGAAGAAACAGGATATTTTAAAACACAAAAACGTGCTCCAGTATCACAGAATCCAATGACAGATCCTAATATGATGACAGATATGTTAAAAGGAAATGTAACTAATGTTATACCAATGGTGCTTATAGGTGGTTGGATTAATTGGATGTTTTCTGGTTTTGTTACAAGTAAGTTCAATGAGTTGAATATATATTATATATAATTTAAACTCAAATTTCTTGATTTAATATAAATGATTCTATTTTAGCTAAAGTACCATTTCCTTTAACATTGCGTTTTAAACCAATGTTGCAACGTGGCATAGAATTAGCTACTCTTGATGCTGCATGGGTTTCATCAGCATCTTGGTATTTTCTAAATGTGTTTGGATTGCGTTCCATTTATACACTTGTCCTTGGTGAAAGTAATGCTGCTGATACTTCTAGACTTTTACAGGACCAAGTATCTGGTGCTGCAATGTCTATGCCACCAGATCCAAAAGCTGCTTTCAAATCAGAATGGGAAGCATTGGAAATATATGAACATAATTGGGCACTACAGGGAGTTGAAGCAGATCTTATAGGATCTCAAAGAACAGATACAAGTGAAAGTATATAAATATTTAAAATTATAAGTAACATATCACACTTATTATTACATATGTAATTTACATTATATAATTATAATAATTTATATTTTACAGGTAGCAAATAATAAATATTACATCTATATCTATAGATATAGTATGTGCCATTTTGGGAAGATGATTAAAGTTTTAATATATTATTAAATGAATTAATAGTTTAAATTAATAAAATAAAGAATGTCTTATTGACATTCTTTAAAATATTATTTTATATCTCATTAAAATATCTAAATCATATTTTCTTTGTAGTTTGTTATACTTTTAATTTCATATGTACAAAAATGTCCACATAATTGTAGCAATATATTTCCATCTTTACATTTTTAAGGTACAAATATTTATAAGTTATTAAATGTATTTATCACAATGAATGTTTGTTTTATATATGTATATTATGAAAATGTTATTACATTTCAATCTCTTTTTATTTTATTTACAATATTAAGCTCAGCGCGAATATTTGTTTATATAAAAACTAAATAGTAAATAAAATGTTAAATACAATTATATACAATTTTAAATATATTTATACATAAATTTATATATATTAAAGATTATAAGGGTTCTAATTTGGGATATAAATCTGTTCGACGATGATTTTCGCATGGCATATTTTGTCGAATTTGTTTTAATAGGTTTAAATCAATTTCTGCTAAAATTATATCAGTTTTTTCACTACATTGCGCTATTACAGATCCCCATGGATCAATAACCTAGTAAAATTTTTTTCATATAAATATTATATTTCATGTAATAAAACTAGAGTATAACATAAAATTTTTTACCATTGCATGACCCCAGCTCACTCTTTTTTTATTATGTATACCAGTTTGAGCTGCAGCCACAACATAACACTGTGTTTCTATAGCTCTTGCACGTAATAATATTTCCCAATGTGCAGCACCTGTTTGATATGTAAATGCTGATGGATATGTTAAAATTCTGCTCCCATATTTCTCAATGAAAGAGATAATTCAGGAAAACGCATATCATAACACTAATATTACTATTAAGTAGGAATAATTTTTAATGTTTTAATATTTTAATATTTGAAAATTGTGAAATTGAAATATAAAAAGGATACAATACTGAGTGCTAATTTACCGATTGGTGTGGATATAGGTGGTTCAATCTTTTGTCCTGCTAAAACATAATCTGATTCCATTAATCTAACTCCAGTATTTTTATTATCCATATCAAATAAATGTATTTTACGATATGTACTGACAATTTCTCCTTCATTATTTATTAAAATGTGTGTATTACTTATATGTTCTCTATTGTCATCTAACTATAAATATAATTAAAATAATATATAAATTAATAAAAAGTTATATAATATATAAATAATATATATATTGTATAATATATAAATTAAGAAAAAAATAAAAAGAAATTGAAATCTCTTACTGCTTCATGGATTCCACCTAATGACAACCAAATTTTATTTATTTTTGCAATTTCTTTATAACTTGTCACTGTTGATCCGTTCAAAGTTTGAGCCATGGCTATTGTATCCTTTTTACTATCTGCTAAGTAATCACATGCCTCAGGAAAAAATGCAATCTATCAAAATATTTAAAAAAAAATCTATAAATACAATATTAATTAAAATTAATTAAAATTAATTAAAATTTCATTTTTAGACTTACAGAAGCTGCCCTATGTTTTGCTTTTTCAGTAAGTTCACGTACAGTTTGTAAATTTTTTTCTTTATCATTTGTTGATGTCATTTGACATACTGCAACTAATGGATTTTCCATACTACTAAAATATTTTACAAAATGTTTTCTAAAAAAAAGATTCAAGATATAATTAAAAATATTAAGAAATAAAAAAATACTTTATTTTTTATATTTATTTCAATATATAATTTTTTTATAAAGAAAAAATGAAATCATATTTTGAATGATTTATCTGACACAATTTACCTTACCAATTATTACCTGTGATATTTAATAATAGAAAAACTGCTTATCAAATACATGTCTATCCTTTATTTACATATACATAGAAACTTTTGATAATAAATGCAAAAGTATTAAAAATGATAGTAGCACATTGTTGTAGTAGTAATATACAATATGTGTAATCTATAATTACGTTATGTTTAAAAAAAATAATAACTTTCATAAAATGTAAAATATGTATACATGTAAAACAAGTTTTTAAATTATAAAATAAAATGTCAAAATTTCAATTAGATATCACAATTGTTTTTCAAGGAAAAATTTTACAGAACAAGTATAGATAAAGAAAGGAAATACTAAAAGAAGGATAGAGATAGAATAAAAAATAGGAAATCAGTGCAATTTCTAAAATGCTTTAGATAAAATAAATATAAATAAGAAGAGCAAATAAAAGAAGGATAAAAATCGGATAAAAATCTTGAAATCAGAAAATAAATACTATCTTCAGACTGCTATAAATGAAATAAAGAAAGGATAAAAAATTGTAGAAGGATAAAGATAGAATAAAAATCAAGGCTATCTCTGCTTTTAGAGAGATGTTTTTGACACTCAAAAGATAGCGTTGTTAGTCAATTCTTTTTCTATCTTTCTTTTATTATTTTCTCTTCTTGTTTATATAATTTTATTTGTAGCATCTAAAAATGACTCTGAATTTCACAATTTTATCCTATTTCTATTTTTTTCTTACTTTATTCTCTTTATATTTGTTTTTTTATATTTATTCTTAATGTATAATTATAAACGAGGTTAGAAAAATCAATTGAATTTTCATTATTTTTCTTTTAAAATTACACTATATCTTAATTTTTATATAAAAAATATTATATTCTCGATAAAACATTTTTTTTCGAATTTTTAGAATATATTTCTAGGATTTCAATATATTCTGATATATAATGCGTGTTATCAAGAGGCATTATTTAGCACTTGAATTTAAACAAACAAAAGCTTAGTTTATTTAACAAAGAAAAAAAATTATATTTTTGAAATATTTTATTGAAAGACAATGTTATTGATTCGTTTATTGAATTTATTTTTTTACTATTTATAATATAGTAAATTCCTAAAAATATATAAAAATATATTGATTGTTACATATTCAAAAAATTTATTAAATAAAATAAAAATTTATAAATTGAATTTAATATTTTTTTCATAAATTAAAAATAATAAATAATAATAATAAATAATTTTAAAATTATTATATATATATAATTTAATAATTATAATAATATAAATTATTCTATTATATAATATATTTTATAAATCGTTATATATATTAAAATTAATAGAGTTTAAAATATTAAAATTTATAAAAATTAAAAATTAAAATATTTAAAAATTTCATAGTTGAAATATTCGCTTGAAGTTTACAGATCAATTTATATTGTCATCGATACTGTCGTTTGCGGCGTTCAACCTTGCCCGCCGAGCAATGTTTATCGAGTGGGGAAAGACGATTCCGCCAGCCAGTTTCGCTTCGACCGCTGTGTCGTGTGGATGAAAAATTTATTCGTGTTCAATTTCGAATATAATTTAGTTGCATATATATTTCATCAATTTATATGCGTTTTATTCATAATATTTATATTATGTATATTTATTTGCAAATATTTTAATTATATTTATTCGCGAGTGTAACAATTTTGTGTTTTATTTGGTAGAGCGTTGGTATAATTCATCTCTATCATGGATGAAGCTGTTACTACAAACAAACAAGGTACAGACTTGCATTTTTTTGTATCATAGAAATTTATATTATGACTATTTTATCATTTTTATACACACGCTATAGTTCAATGTAAAATAGTAATGTTGAAAGCTGTATGTATCATTTCATTATTTATGAATGTGTAAATTGCAATAATAGTAATATTATGTTTTTTGATAATAGTTAGATAATAGTAAGATTAATTTAGATAATAGTAAACATAATGAAATTAATCATTTTATTTAGTTCTATTATTTACATTATATTTATTTTTATATTTTGTTTATATTATATTCAAGATATAAAAACATTTTTTATTGTATAACCTATAATATTTATAAAATATATTTATAAAAAATATATCTATAAAAAAAATCCGCATTTATATAATTTATATAATTTATATAATTTAAAAATTCAAATTCAAATATATCATATCATGTCAAATATGTATTTCTTTCAATTATCTATTGTGTTCATCAATTTTTTGAAATTATTCTTTTTTTTTATTTATTTGTTTAACAGTTAGAATCACAGATAACTTATAACTCATATTTTTTTTAAGATAAAATTTTTGATTTAATTATTATTTTATTTTTTTATTAATTATTGTTTTATTTTCTATATATTGATTAATTTTATATATTTTATAATATAATTTTTATATTTGTCACTAACTATTATAGTACAATAATTCTGTATTATAAACTTTTAAACTAGATTATTATTTTATTTTAATACAATCAATTTTAATCTTATATATTTTATACATTTATCTTAGAGATACAATTTTTTTTGCAGATAAGTAGCTGATTATTGAGACTATTTTATGCAAAAAAAAAAAAATTTCAATATAGATGCCATGATGATATTCTATATTTTATAAAGAAGAGGTAAAGTTTAAGTTTTTATATTGAAAAAAAATATATAAGAATTTTTGTATTCGCATTTTATTGAATTAGTTATTTTTATGTATATAATTCATAATTATTATATTAATTATTAAAAATTTTGTTAAATTTTCTATAAAAACTTAAAATTTTTCTATATATTAAATTTTTTTTACATAGTATTGAAAAAAAAAATTTAGCTATATATAAGAGATTAAAATTCTATTTATATTCATTTTATTATATCCATTGAGTTCAATTTAGAAATTATTATGATTTATTGAAATTTATTAATTTTTTATAGTGTTCTTTGTTTCAGAAACCAATGGAATCAATTGGAATTAAATAAAAAAGAGAGAGATTTGTAAGATTTGTATATTACTTCTTCTTTTTCCCTTGATTATAGATTCAGATTTTTTTGTAGTTAAATTCAAATCTTTAAATTGTTAGATAAATATTATTTTTGTACTAGATAGCTATAAAAATTATATTTGGTTTGTATATAGATAGAAATTATAAAAAATTATAAATTTTATCAAATTACTTTTGCTTAAAAGTTGTTCTATTAATTTGTAAGAGTTAATGATAAAAAAATACATATTTCTAAATGCATACAAGATTTTTATGCATTTTTATGCAATATTTTTAAAAATTACATTCATTTTATGCAAAATTCTAAATACATATCAGGATTAATTATTAATTTTTATTGATAAATTTTTATTTTTAAATAAAAAATATTAAATATAAGTAAATTTATAAAAAAATTACTACTATTTTAAATAGGATATATAATTTGTAAGATGTATATATAATTAATATAGTAATGATGGCTGAGGTAATAATGATAATATAATTTAAATCAATAAAATAAATATAACTCTCTTTAAATATATTTTATTTATTTATTTTTATTATTATCAATATTTTATATTTTCATTACTCTACTTTCATTGAAAATGAAGTAACATATGTACCTTATATAGAATCATATAAATAAATTAAAATCTATCTAATTATTTTCAGATTTAGTTTGTCACTTTTATTTTCCTTAAAAATCCTTTTGTTATTTGTTTGTACAATGATAAAAAATTTGAACAAAAAAAATCTCTTTTGCACACTAAAAAGAAAATAAATTTTTACATGAAAGGAAGATAGAAGAGACAAGATATAATATGAAAACATAAAATATTTATAAGAAGTATCTAGGATATTTTAAATATTTGCAAATAATATTGAAAACACAAGATGTTTTATTTTTCTTTATTCTATTTTATTAAATTGTCATAGTATATAATACACAAGTGAGACATTCATTTATTAAATTCACTTATCAAGCAGAAATAATATTTCTCATTTGTGAAGTTACGTTTACTGTTCTTGTTAAAAAGTCGATAACAAAAGGACAGTATATGTCTACAGAAAAATCACAACTTACTATTATATCCTATTTAAAGGATAATTAATAAATACTACTGTTCTATTTGTAAATGCATTCGTATCGTTGCATGGAACAGATACTCTGAAACTCATGGTGGATGAGAGAGTAGTTAGGAATTGAAAGGATGATTGAAGAACCTAATATCCGAGAAATACATAATAATATCACGCACTCGGATCATTTCCTTTGTTCATTGAGAAAAAAACATCTAAAATATCTATAGTAAAGATCTCAAGAAGTTGGGATTAATTGGATAGAGAAAAGATAAAGTATAGTAGAAGGATAGAGATAAAGGATAGTACAGGATAGTGAAAGAGTTTTGCGATAATGCAAGATCAAATAATGTCGTGTTAATATTGTTTTTTTTTGTTCGGTTTTTCTCTTCTGCTGTTTTGTAAGCTTGCGTTAATACAATCGTTGAAATCGACACACATACTTTCGGGACACACACACAACTTTTTATTTGCCTTTAGTGGCTCGTATCGCTTTGCAAATTTCAATCCACGGATGTCCGTAGGAACTGCAAATGTCACAGACGTTTGACGAGCTTGATGATGGTTGACTAGGTTGGTGGCCAGGTGTACTCGGTGAGGATGACCCTTCTTTCTTCGTTTTGCACATGGATGACGAGAGATGTAGAAAATCGACCGAGGGTGGTAAAGAGGCGGGTGCACGTGTTTTACGCGATGATGGTAATGTTGCTGAATTATAAGATGATGATGAATTAGAAGATGGTAGTATCGAGGGAGATCGCTCAAGCGATGGAGATTTTGCCGCCTGTATTGATCGATTCGAAGGCGACGATAGGCGCATACACCGTAAAAGGTTGAGTCAATCATTGAGCAGACCTTGAGACACGCTTATTAGCTGTTCCTTCAGCACGCGGAAAGAGGGTCGTACTTCTGGGCAATGGGCCCAACATTTTCGCATTACCTAAGAGATAAATACACATAGGATTTTATTATAAATGTGTTATATTAATATCAAAATAATTCTTTATATTTATCTTGAATATGTTAAATAAAATTGATCTAGTTTTGACTAACCTCATAAACTTCTTTGAAACAGGCTTTAGGTCTTTCTAATATGATACCTCGTTGCACTCTTTCCACGACTTCAGTGTTTTTTAGACGTCCATAAGGCATTTTTCCGCACGTGAATACTTCCCACATGAGTACTCCATAAGCCCAGACGTCTGATTTTGAACTGAAGCGAGTGTAGTTCAACACTTCTGGAGGTGCCCATTTGATTGGAAATTTGGTGCCTCCACTACTAGTATATTGATCATCCAATACATACCTGAAACAAAATTATAAAATTATAAAATTTCTAAATACTAAATATAAATTAATAATTTCACTTTCATTTCATTGTAGAAAATTTTTACCTTGCCAATCCAAAGTCTGCAACTTTTACTACATTTTCTGAACCAACTAAACAATTGCGTGCAGCGAGATCTCTATGGATATAGTTATGCCTTTCCAAATAAGCCATACCTTTGCAAACCTGCAATTATTAATTAATATTAATTGCTGCAATAAATAAATGAGCAAAAGTTGACATTTGAAGATGAACTTTACTTGTATGCACATATCTAAAAGAAGACCAACATTTGCTCCTAGAGTTGCTTCATTACGACGGAGGTAGTTGAGCAAAGATCCATGTCGCATGTATTCAGTAACAATGTATATTGGTCTATCTTTACTGCAAACACCATATAATTGAACCAAATTCTGATGTTGAAGTTTCCTAGAAAAAAACAATTCGACATTTACTATTCAATCTCTCATTTGTTTACTAAATATCTTCATCTATTAAAAACTTGAATTAATCATTAACTCACGTCATCACTTTAGCTTCTTCTATAAAATCATCTTCAGACATTGTGCCTTCTTTCATCATTTTTACAGCAACGTCTATAGATCCACGCCATTTTCCTCTTCGCACTACTCCAAACTGTCCAGAACCAAGTTCTTCTAATAAGTGTAGTTCTGCTGGATCAATTTCCCATTTGTCTGCAAATTAAAGAACAGTTATAGCTTTCTAAAAAAAATATTAGTTTGCTTTGTAACGAATTGAAAAAAAAATAAAAAGATTCTCTTTTGAAAATTTGATCTCAAAAAGATTACAAACCATGACTGAGACCAGCAGTTGGTGGTACAGGGCGATCACAAGGGCTAGTTTTCAGTCGGCTAGCTAATCCACCGCTATTATGTCTATGATAATTAACCAAGTCGGGTATTGAACCACAGCAATGTTTCTCAGATAGATAAAATTCTCCTCTGGTATTTTGTTTGATATGATAATGTTTCACATGAGGATGTGGGCTACAATAGTATCTTCTTATTGACCTTTTTCTATAATAAAATATAATGTGATGATATAAGGTGAAAATACTTACACTTTCGTATAGAGGGAAAGCGTGTACAGTCCTTTGGTAGACGAATTACGTACAACAAAGCATCCTTCTTTATCTTCTTGCTTAAGCAATGATTCCGCACGTTGTCTAGACATATCACCCACATACCATCTACAATTTTAAACATATGTTAATCATTATATAACATTAAGAAAATATAAATTTGTTTTAAATAAAGTCTTCTCCATATATTTACTCATATTTTTGAAGGCCCAGAAGTTCTTTTTCTTTGACATAGTTGCTGGGAATGTAACCAATGGATCTGAAAAAAAAAATTAGAAATTATAATTAATCATATTATATTACAAGTATCCAAATAAAAAATTATATATTCTTTTGTTTCATTTGTATCAGCAGTGTAGTAATTAATATAATCGTTGAAATTATATAAATGGAAAATTTTTTTTATATCTAATAAGAATATATCTAATAGAGAGTGATATATATATATATATATATATTATATCCATTTCCTTTGTGTTTTCTTGGAAGCTTTTTTTTATATATTCACGAGTCGAATCGACTAGCCAATGAATCCATAGCTTTAATCCGCTTTTGGCTATGTTAAGTAGTAAGAGTAAGAAGAGAGAAAAACTTAAGCCTTTAAAAGTATTTGATCGCCGAGAATGCAAGTTGCCAAGAAGATATAGCATAACAATATTAATCATGATTACATTGGCATAAGGGTTTGCGTAATAGATGGTATCTAATTAATTTGGAATTTGGATTCAAAATAAAATTGACCAGTAATTTTACTCGAAATAATTTAAAAAATAATTTTTTTTCGAGAGATTCTAATTCAAACTATTTTCCAATAGACAATATATCTTCCATTTCAATGAATATAAAACTTTTACATACCCATGTTCATCTTTAACTTTCCACCAATGTTCCTGAGAATCATCTAATACTTCGTATTCTGCTCCCTGCGAAATAATGTATTTTTATATATTTACGATATAAGATGAAATTATGAATCTGACATGACATCGATGAATTCCAATGATTTAAATAATTTCAATTGTGATCCTTAAATGATTTTGACAAAAAATAACACGGTTTTGATAATTATCAAAAATATTAGTTCGAATTGGAAATAACATTATATACAGTTTCAAATGATTTTGAAACTCGTGAAATCCGAGCAAGAATTCAAAATATTTTTCTCTAAAATATTACTATTCCAGATTACATTTGAAAATTGCTAAAACCATAGTTAATTAAACATTTGATGAACTGGCATGCACCGTTGAATCCAAGTGTTAATAGGATTCGAGGTTTCTCTGCATATTAGAGGATAACCATCATCCGCGGAATGCTGGCGATGCTGTTGCCTATGTCGATGATAATATGATCGACGCGAGACATTACCGAGAATTGTTATCCGACCGCAAGACTCAATTGTGCGAAAGTTAGGTTAGAAACTTGGAAATTTGGTTTGACATGTCGTGCAATCGAGCGATCGAATTAATGATTTAATTCGTCAATCAAATTTTTCTTAATTATGAGATGAATATTAGAAATGAATAATTAATTTTATTTACGTAAATATGAATATAATTTAAATATGTCCATTGTTGTATGTCCGTGTAGATAGGAACTATCAGAGAATTGGATTCTAAATAAAATATGATAAAAATAGAATTGATTATTGTTAATTTTTTAACAATAACTTATTTTTTTTATAAAAAAAATAGAAATAAAATTACATGGAAAGTCAATAAATATATAAATGAATTGAAAAAGATTAAAAAGAGAATTTAGTAATAACAATTCGACAACATAGAAACCAAATTGACTTTATTAATATGATTTATCTAATTTCACGAAAATTTAGCGCTAATTGTGACGAAAAAATTGAAAAATTTTTAGAAATTGGAGTTCAACTTCCTAGTGGCTTAATTTTTTATTGAATTTTACATTTTATATATATCTTATTGTATATCTTCACGATTCGATTTATTGAATCGATATGAGAAGGTATAGATACATAAATCAGATCGATTTATCGCGGTAAGAATATTTTAATGTAATTTAGTTCGTGAATCAAGATTGATCTAATACAGTTTTGATTCGATTCTATTCAAACGATGTAATTTATGTAGTTCTATTCCATACAATATTGTATATTTAATTCGGTTATAACACGAGTTCTTACGATAATATTTAATACGATACGATTCGTGCAATATGTATAATTTTATTTTCTGCGATTCGATTCTATCTCGTTTGAATATGATACGGAACAATGTATGAATGTAATTCTTCTTTTTTTTTTTTTTTTCATTGATACATAATATAACGTGATTGCTTGCGGCATTATTTTATTCAAATCTATATCTATATCTAATATTCGGTTTAATATCGAACTATGTAGAGTATAATATATATTCGTCCAATTTTGCAAATTTTCTTTAGAATATTAAAATATTCATTAACACTTTTTGAAAGTCGAGTTTGACGAAACTTTTAAGTTTATCAATCAAATTCATATTTTCTTATTTTTTTATTCATTTTTTAAAGCAAATTTTATCTCTTTATCTATTTTCTTCTTCAAAATGATACGTTTTATAGGTATAATTATTGAGGTCTTGGCAGAATTTGAAAAAATATTAGAGAAGACCTATTTACAATCGAATATCGGCTGTCATTTGTTTTTATATTTGATTTGGATTTCCGTTTCAATGAGAAATTATCGTGGTTTCAGGTATTCTGCGATGCAATTAAAACTGCATTGTGAAAGCGGCCGTTAAACGATACCAGACATCGATCCTTTTACGCTCGTTTAATCGCGTATAAAATATTTGATACGCTTTCAAACTTTATGAATCTCATTCCACCCGGATAAACGAGTCGATATTGTGAATTTTTTTTTCTTTATTTTATTCTATTTTTTTTTTCGTTTCTTTTTTAAATTTCACTAATTTCGCGAGAGAAAAATAGAAATGGATTTTACTCTTACCTTTTCGAGGGATAAATCGCCACCCTCAATCGCTCGAAAAGGATACAGAGCTACCACGACCTTTGTTCTCATCATTATCTTGTCCTGGAACACGCATTGATTCTCTGTTTAGAATATTGAATGAATTCAGTAAGTCAAAAAGTCTTTTTTTATTTCTACGTTGTTTTATAAGGAAAATTCACTTATTTTAAAAAAAAATCTGATTTTAATGAATCTTTCGAGGGAAAATTTTTGTATACATTATAGGTAAGTATTTTTCCCTCATGTATGATAAATTTAAGTAAAAGAATATTTGCAAGAGAAGATTTATTTATTTACCTTGGTTTTAGAAGATGGGGTCCCAGGTGTCCCCCCTGGCATTATTGGAGTCGAGGGGGTCCCTGCAATGAACAGACAATAATTTTCCATTAACATTTCCATTAATATTAAAATAACACAATTTTTTTTTTTTCCTTTTTAAATTACTCATCGTGTTACTTGTAATTATATATAAAGTGGAACGGAGACGAGTCAGAATTTTTAATTCTGTGACCAAATGTTCTCATTTTTTTCAGAAGATGGTCGCCATTAGTCCGAGTTTTCCACAGGAGCGAAGCAGCTACGTTTCTTCGCCGGGATAATTATTGAATGTAGCATGGAGAAGAAGACCTCGGAGAAGGGAGATCTCATAACTTATATCTTAATGAGCTTACGTTGCTTGCGATGTTTTAATGAATACTAATGAACTCGAAAATTTTTCTCATCCCAAAGGGAAAAGTGCGGATCCGTCCAGTTTTTTAACCGAGAATAATTGGTCCTATTCTTGGGCCGAAAGATTTATAAATGGAAGAAAGAAGAGGGGCGAAACAAGCATTTTTTTTCAATTTATAATCATTCTTTCGTTACACGATATCGCCGATGTTTACGATGTCCTTCCTTTTTCCCATCTCTCTCTCTCTTTTGTTGATCGAGAGAGAAAATTACGAAATGAAATAAGTGCAAGATTTTAAATAAGATTAAAAAATTTTAATCAACATAATTTATCGATTCACGATTAAACTTTGTATTTGAGTTCAGCAAGAATTAACATTTCGTCGCGAATATAATATAATAGCTAGAAAAGGAATTATGTGAAAGAACGATGAAAAATAGAAGTCAAAAAAAAAAAAAGAAGAAGGAAAAGAAAATATAACCAACTAATTAAATATCTAGAATAATAGATAACTACAAAACTAGGACAAAAAATTCCACAATGAGAGGAAAAAAAAAAAAAAAAAAGAAAAGTGAAAGGATCGACGATTAAATATTTTCGTTTACTGGAAAAAGCGTATTTGAATGTCGGTGATAATTTAGATATTTATCACATTAAAATTTCGAATCCTCGCCGACATCATTTTTCTTCCCGTCGTTTTCATTTCTTGCCAAATATACCGCGACAATCTAGTTTTTTTTCTTCTTTCTTCTTTTTCGTTTATTTTTTTTTTTTTTTTTTTTAAGCAACGTGTCACGCGTCAATCGAGCGAATGGAACGATCGAACGATTTATATATCGATGTCCGATTTTTCTAGGAACGCTATTTCTGTTTTTTCCATCCAACATCCTGTATTCTTTGTATTCTCAATTAGCGCGACGCTTAACGAGCCTCGGCTCGTTAGCCGGCCGATTCGTTGATAAAATACACGTTACAATTCAACCAGCTAGACGTCCGTTTTAATTACTTCTTCTCATAAATCACCTGTATTTTTTTCGACCTGTCAAGTAAGAGTTGTTTAAACGATGGAATTACCCTCCGTGGAATTACTTTGTGTGCCCATTGTTGTGTATAGCGTTCTTTCTCATCGGTGTAAAAATGTATAGAATTATGGTAATTAACACGCGCGAGCCGTTGATTTTTTTTTTTTTTTTTTTCTCAATGCAATTTAAGCAAATGGCAATCTTTTTTGTTCCTTCTTCGCTCGTTGTTCCAAGAGTCCCGATTAATTGTTGACACAACGACAATATTATATCCGAACGAAAATTCTAAATCTAATTTAATCGTCGGCGTATAGATTCTCATCCTAGACACAAAAAAAAAAGAAAGAAAGGAACGGAAAGAAAGAGCTTGGAAGTTTAGATAATGGAATATATCATCGAATTTTACGAACGATTATTTATTCTCAATTATTTAAACGTACCGGAACGCGTGCGGAAACTCGACCGAATCCATGATCCGGCCAGATCCAGCCACCGAGATCCCCTCGCACCTCCTTCCACGCCACTTTTTTCTCTCAAAGACGCTGCCTTCACAGCGCGGTGGATCTCGCGTGTTCGAGCAAACCCTTTCACTTGTAGTACACGAATCACTCCACAAAAACTCACGTGCTTTGCAACAACAACATCTGATCGAAATCTGAAGTAGGAACGAGGGCGAAGGAAGAAAATTTGGATGGAAGATTTGCATCAACCGATTATTAACCAAATGGAAAAATGGAAAATCAAGACGAATTCACGCACGCTCGAAACACGTGGGCGGAGGTAGGTTTCTTCGTAAGGAAACGAAGAAGGAAGTTGGAAGCGAGGGTGCGTGCACGAAGCTCGGTGGATGGCGGAATATCGTCAACGGTGAGCGAAGGACGATACCACAGCTAGTCTCCACCCTGTCTAGACAAAATCAATGCGACCTCAACCTCCTGCATCCCCTCCAGCATCCCTTAGACCGTTCAACGTCCCCACGTGCGTGCCTAGCTGGGTGGCTGGCTGGTTGGCTGGCCGCGTCCCTTCTCCCTTTCGAACTTCCTCTTCGTGTCGAGTTTCATTACCGGAAGCAGTCTGCTGCTCCACACTATGGAGTGTGTGCTAAGTTCACCGACCATGGATACAAGTTCCTACTTCTCTCCTCCCTTTGTTCCTCTTCTTCTTCTTCTTCTTGTACTTACACGCACCTCTTCTTTCGAGGGTCTTCTCGTTTCTTTGCTCTTTCTTTGGACGATGATTTTTTTTTTTATTCCAGCAATGCGGATAGCAAAATTTGTACGTAACAATTTTCCTTCCGATCGATAGAAAAGATCGAATCGAATCGAATACTTCGAAAAAAATTAGAAGAAACGCTTGTATATACATTATTCGAACCATTTTACACTCCATTTTGTCCAATCGTATCGAAAGACCGACAGTTTTCCAGAAAGAGCGAGACACCATTGCGAATGCATTAATCGGAAAAATTGACGAGCCATGGATCCCCCCTCGAATGAAATAAAAGGATTAATCTCGACCGACAGAATCGTCCAGGATTAATTGCTCGTTCTGCCGGTAAAACGTTGGCCAGAAACTTCCATCGACAGAGGAGGACAGGGAAGCGGTGGACCCGTTTCCGGTAAGCGATCCTCTCTCTCTCTCTCTCTCTCTCTCGTAC